GCCCCCGGGTGCTGAGTATGCAGTGCACAGAGGAACACGTCTGTCAGAGCCACATACCAAGAACCCCCAGGTGCAGGGCAGTCCTGTGGCTTCTCCCCTGGCTAGTGTCCAGATGCTAGACAGAAATGCATTTCCACAAACTATTGAGAAATAGTTTCTTGGCCCAGCCGAGAAGGACTTGGGGGTACTGGTGGATGAAAAGCTGGACAGGAGCTGGCAATGTGCAGGCTCATGAAGGACCCAGAAGGCCAACCGTATCCTGTGCTGCATCCAAAGCAGTGTGGCCAGCAGGTCGAGGGAGGTGATTCTGCTCCTCTACTCCGCTCTGGTGAGACCCCACCTGGAGTCCTGCATCCAGCTCTGGAGCCCTCAGCATGGGGAAGACATGGACCTGTTGGAGAGGGTCCAGAGGGGGTCACAAAAATGATCCAAGGGATGGAACACCTCCCCTATGAGGACAGGCTGAGAGAGTTGGGGTTGTTCAGCCTGCAGAAGAGAAGGCTCCAGGGAGACCTTATTGCAGCTTTCCAGTACTTAAAGGTGGCTTATAAGGAAGAAGGGGACAGACTTTTTAGCAGGGCCTGTTGCGATGGGGACAAGGGGTAATTGTTTTAACTAAAAGAGGGTAGATTTAGACTAGATGTAAGGAAGGATTTTTCCCATTGAGGGTGGTGAAACACTGGCACAGGTTGCCCCGAGAGGTGGTAGATGCCCCATCCCTGGAAACATTCCAGGTCAGGTTGGATGACGCTCTGAGGAATGTGATCTAGTTGAAGATGTCCCTGCTCATTGCAGGGGGTTGGACTAGATGACCTCTAAAGGTCCCTTCCAACCCAAAGATTCTAGGATTCTATGATTCTATGCTGCTGGTCACCTACAGCCCAGAGGGCAAGCAGAGCCAAAGAGATGGAGACCCTGTCTCTTACCCCACCAACGCTTGAGCTACCAGCTGGGAGACAGGGATGGTTAGGGACCAAGACATGAGAAACTTGCAAGGACTGTATCATCTTCTGGAGGCAGAACATGGGACAGAGGGAGGTGAAGGTCCTGTCTCCTCTGATACCCTTCGTGTGCTCAGAGAGCAGCTGGGAGGAACCTAACCCTTAGGCAAATGTGAATGTATCATCAGAGCAGACAGCAGTTTCCATCCACTGAGCGCTGCTGATAACCAGAGCAGGTTGGTTGTTGTCCCCTCTCCACAGATGTGGCAGCTGAAGCACAAAGTGGAGAGACAGAGCATTTCTCCAAGACAAGGTCTGAACCCAGCACCCTCCCTCCCATATTTCCCCAGGTCTTGGGGCTAAGGGGACAACCCAGCAGACTTGGCCGTGCTCCACTGTATGAGGCAACTCAGCGCTCTGGGACATGGCTGGAGCCTGGGCTGGAGGAAGCTGTTGCCCACAAGAGGTGGGAGGGGGTGGGGGGAGCAGCAGGACTCCTTAGCTGATCTCCCCCATGCCGGAAGGGGCATTTCTGGTCTCCCTGGAGAGAGTATCGGTATCCTCTGCCCACCGTCGGCGCAAAACACCACCACAGCTTTGCAAGTTGTTCTCATTTTATTCCCTTATTAACAGACCTCCATCTCCGGGCTCATTTCTGCCCAGGGGTGAAGGAGGCTACCTGCGGCCCAGCGGTGCGGTACAGGAGGCACACAGGGGGTCCTACCCTGCGGGAGCTCCAGCCTGAGGCAGCAGCACCCTGAGTGTTTGGGAGCTGCCAGCAGACGGAGATGGCCAGCCGCGCGCTGCCAGACCCCTCCAAACCGGGCAGGTTGGGTTTGCAACCTGTAATTCCAATTCCTCTGGATTTTCCGTCCCGCCAGTCAGCAGAGGTGCACTGACTCCTCTGACGCTTGCCCTTCTGGCCGTGTATCTTCACTGCAGCTGAGTGCTTAAGACTGCACAAACTCAGAAGTCTGACTATGCTGATTTAAAGAGTGGCATTTTATGCAAACATTTCCAGAACATTAATCTGAGGTGCCTGCAAACACCGGCCCCTTCTAGCCTGATAAATGCTCTGCAGGTCAGAAGAATGCTGCCTTTTTAAAAATACTCTTTGGGCTTCGGTGGGTCCATATATTACTTTTCTGTTTTCTTCTCCCTTTTCTTCATTAGCTAGAAATGGATTTTATCCAGACCACTTACAATAGCATCTAGTTTTGGTGTTGATCCTAGTTTTGCAGCTGATCATCTAGAGAAGTGGGTTCTAGCAGCCTCAGTTGTCTGAAGTTGTTCAGCACTCTACAATTTGGCAGGCATCAATCTTAATATACTTCCATGTCCTTTTTTCATGACAAGAATATCAACCTGCCTGACTAGCATAATGATGGGTTAGGCTCAGCTTCTCTGATTGGTGGCCCGGTGTTGGTCTCTTCTCCCAAGTAACTAGCAATAGGACGAGAGGAGGCGTCAGGGAAGGTTTAGATTGGATATTAGGGAAAACTTCTTTACTGAAAGAGTGGTCAAACATTGGAACAGGTTGCACAGGGAGATGGTGGAGTCACCATCCCTGCAGCTGTTCAAAAAACGTGTAGATGTAGCACTTGGTGATATGGTTTAGGGGGCATGGTGGTTGTTGGGCTGACAGTTGGACTTGCTGATCTTAAAGGTCTTTTCCAACCTTAATGATTCTGTGATTCTGTGATCCTGCAGTGGGACCGCATTTTGCACATTGCCCTGTGGAAAGCCGAGTTCAGTTCCGGCAGCGAGACAGCCGGTGAGCTGCGAGACTTTGGGCTGTGACTTGGATGTCTTGTGTTGCTGTGAAATCAGGCTGTCTGCGTAACAAGCAGACACTGTGCCTGCTTGAGGCGCGAGGACTTCTGGTTCTCTCTTCTCTCTGCCAGCACCACATCCCCATCTTTTGTCAGATGCTCCATATCCCTTATCTCCCCAAAAGAGCTGGAGAAGTTACTGCAGGACTTCCCACAGCAGACAGCCAGGAGCTCCCATGGGAAAAGAGGACATGTTCAAGGATAGGAAACGTATGGAAAGTGTCTATACATAGGTCAGGTATGGTAAATAGGAGCCTTGGTGGAAGTTTCCAGGGATTCAGATAAATACCTAGAACTTCTAGAGTCTCACACTTGTAGGAAGCGTCTCTACCAGTAAATGAAGCAGTGCCCAGGTTCATTCCCAGTTCCTGTTGAAGTGTTATGGCAGGGCCTGGCCTGCTTTTCATCTGTGCCAGACAACAGTCTGGCAGACTTTCCTGGGCACATCTCTGGGGTGTGAACAGCAGGGACCATTCCCCATGGGCTCTTTGCAGGCAGCCGAGCTTGGAAACAAGCCTTTCCGTGCCAGTTGATCTCAGCACCTGGAAGTGTGACTGAGCATTTTTAATTTAATAGTACAGAGTCCCTGATAACTATGATAACAAAAGGAGCAAAGTTTCTAGAGAAAATTATCCCAGGGACAAGGCATTACCTCTTGGGAACTTGGGTGGTGGACTGGTAGTTGTGTTGGACTGACAGCAATGGAGTTGTGATTTAATATTGTGTTTTTTTAAAAAAACTCACTTTTCGGTCCTTTGATGCTTTTATAGGGCTGGGGAGCAGAGTATCATCGCCAAGATGTTACAAGCACGCCCTGCTGGATTGAGATCCACCTGCATGGACCATTGCAATGGCTGGATAAGGTGCTGACACAGATGGGCTCCCCTCATAACCCCATCTCCTCAGTCTCTTAAGAATCATCTCTAGAATTCCCGTAGGATGGATGCTGTTGCAGGCAGTGGCTTATAGGATTTCCAGTGAACAGAAGCTTCTATATGTAGATGTATGTAGATGTAAATATATCTATACATAGTCTACTCTCCTTTTTTTTTTTTTTCATGCTACATTTTGTGGTTTCTAGTTACTCTGATGCCAGTACAATAACTTTAGAAATTCAGGTATAGCGTATCTGTTCTCTAGTACAAAATAAGCCAAATTCCTGCAAAAGTGTCAAACATTTCCTGTGAGCATCTTCATTCCCCAGCCAAGCCAGTAAACAGTGTGAATTCTCAGCACTTTCATGCAGATTCAGAAACCTGGCTGTAGCTGTTCCTAGTAGGTGAAATTCACCCCTCTGCAGGCAACCAAAGTCTCTACACCATTTATATCCATTTTACATCCTAATTTCAGGTCTGAAAGAGGACCTTAGGTGGTACACAGGACTTATGCATAGAGATGACTTTTATCCAGTGAACTGAAGGACTAAACTGCAATTCCAGTCTGTCTCCCTACTGCAAAGCACGATGGGACAATAGATCCTCTGAGGAGCTGAGGCACCCCTGTCTCCCCTAGGATTTGGCAGGAGGAGAGAGCCCTTGGGACGCGTTCAGCACTGGAGCCTTATCAGAGCATTCTGGACACATCCGAGTAGTCTGATACTGTTAACACAGTAGTGTACGGTACTGCTGCACTGAAAAGCAACAAGCTCCTAAGGAAAAAAAAAAAAAAAAAGAAAATTTGAAATATATGCCTGTAAGTTTAAAAACTAATTAACTTCCAGTGCTTTTTTGCGAAGTACATACATACTTACATATGTATCTGGCATGTAAACTGAATCCTATCCATTATACAGTATTGATGTAGTTTGTTTTAAAGTTAGGACTCTCTGTAGTTAGACTACTGTGCTGATATCAAGGGTACGTCTAAAAGGGACTTGAACTGTGATTCAGAAAAGGGAAATGAAGTGTGCATTGAAGAACTGAATAATTACTTTTATCATTCATCTTGGGATAGTCTCTGTGCTGGGAACAGGAAGCCCCACGCTCACAGGATGCAATGAGAAGGTGGTGGGAGTCAGCCACGTCCATCCCCTGTGCTGGGCCAGTCCTCAGGATCTGACTGCAAGGCTCAGCTTTGACAGAGGGGGCTTCCCCACCAGTCACTTCGTACGTCCCCATGGATGCTTTCTCATCTTAGATACAGGCTTCATCATTTGCAGTGCTTTTGCCTCGCCTGCAGAGGATGGTGAGGCAGTGTAAGCCATGAACAAGAAAATCGTGAATCTACATGCAGAACCTTTTTTAAGAGCTCCTTGACTGTGGTCCTTTCAACCTTGACTTGCTTATGGAATAAGCAAGGAAACCTGTTGCCCATACTGTCATCCACAGAGCCAGCTTTACAAAATGCTGTTCACTTGGTATCCCTGAGGTTACCAGGAGGTGGTAGGTGAAACTCTTACTACATTTTGATGTCCCCATTACCTTGCTGAAAGGGTAGAGGATTATTTTTTTCCAGGCATACCAGTGCACTGAAAGTTGTTTTGCTTTAAGGGTCATAAAGAGTGATAACTTCTCCAATCTCATTCCTCCTGAGAACACACCAGAAGTATCCTGAGGAAAAAATATGTTTTAGAGAACATTTCTTTTTTTCTCACACAATATCTGGTGCTACACGTTTTACTGCGTAATTAGAAGAGGATGCCCAAAATCTTCAGCTGCATCACATATGCAAAGGAAATAACATTCACTGGAAAGACTTTCCAGGTGTTTTACATGCTATGTAATACCTGTTATGGGGTGGTAATTATGAACAGAGCAGAAGAATCAGTAAACTATCAGGGTTTGAATCGTTTGAATGCATCTTCAGCTGTCTGCAGAATTTGTAGGGCACGTTAGGATAGCTTATTGTTAAGTTTGAGCAGTAATAGCAAGTTGTATAGTAAATTTGTAAATGTGAAAAACCCTATTCTGTCAGCATTTGATGTCATCAGTGTCACTGTGGGATAGGAGAAGCTTTACAGTCTCCTGCAGCAATGAAATCCAATAATAATGTTACACAGAAATTCCAGGAGTGCCATTTACTGTTTAGCAGACTTGGGAGAGATCAGTTTGGAAAAAGACATTTTCTTCAGCTCCCTTTGTCATCAGTGTCACTGTACTGAGGTACTGGTAACAGTTTTTAGCATGTTTATTGCACCCTTTCTCTAGTAATTTCTCTGTGCTTTTCATGTTGCTCATCCCTTTGCTTTCTTAGCAGCTAAGAACAGAGGAAATCACCTCTCCTGTCCAGAATCTAGCTCTATCCTTTATCCTAGATTCTTCCTTCCCTTTTAGGCTGAAACCTCCTTCCCTCCTAATATAGAGAGAAGCCTAGGGATTGCTTTTAGATACTCCTGGCATTGTCATCTTCCTCACAGAGAGCAAAGGGGGATGTTCAGAGGCACATCTCTTGGGCTCCAGAACCCAGTTTCCTGTCAATGCTGCAGAGGAAAATTGGATGTCCAGTGAAGAGAAGCAGGTTCTTCTGGGGCATCATTTGTTCCATCATAAGGCAGATAGTTCAAGCAGGTGAAATACACTGCGCTCTGAGCATGCTTATGTCTTCCCATTGAGTATAAGGGGAACTCAGGGTAACTAACTCAAATGTGGACTGCTACATTTGACATATCCAAAAGTAGGTGAGGTGGGCCCTAAGGAAGATGTGGTGGCTTTCCTAGCCTAGTAATGATGCTTGCTCAGTAAGTATCTGTGTTTAAATGGAAGTTGGTAAATTCAGAGCAGTTTTTGCTTTCCTTTGTGTCTACTTTTATAGTAATCCTTATACAACTAGGATTTGATTTCAATGCAGTCCACTCATGCATCTCATTAAAGGTAGTCACCTTAATATTCCCTTACTAGTAAGTAGGGGAATGTTTACAGACGACACCAAGCTGGGCGGGAGTGTCGATCTGCTGGAGGGTAGGAGGGCTCTGCAGAGGGATCTGGACAGGCTGGATCGATGGGCTGAGATCAACTGTGTAGGGTTTAATGAGGCCAAGTGCCAGGTCCTGCACTTGGGTCACAACAACCCCGTGCAACGCTACAGGCTTAGGGAGGAGTGGCTGGAGAGCTGCCCAGAGGAAAATGACCTGGGGGTGCTGGTTGACAGCCGGCTGAATATGAGTCAGCAGTGTGCCCAGGTGGCCAAGAAGGCCAACAGCATCCTGGCAAAAAAAAAGTGTGGCCAGCAGGAGTAGGGAAGTGATTGTGCCCCTGTACTCGGCACTGGTGAGGCTGCACCTCAAATACTGTGTTCAGTTTTGGGCCCCTCACTACAAGAAGGATGCTGAGGTGCTGGAGCGTGTCCAGAGAAGGGCAGCGAAACTGGTGAGGGGTCTGGAGCACAAGTCTTCTGAGGAGCGGCTGAGGGAACTGGGGTTGTTCAGTCTGGAGAAGAGGAGGCTGAGGGGAGACCTTTATCACTCTCTACAACTACCTGAAAGGGGGTTGTGATGTTGGTCTCTCCCAAGTAACTAGCAATAGGACAAGAGGAAATGGCCTCAAGTTGCGACAGGGAAGGTTTAGATTGGATATTAGGAAAAATTTCTTCACTGAGAGAGTGGTCAAGCATTGGAACAGGCTGCCCAGGGAGGTGGCGGAGTCATCATCTCTGGAAGTATTCAAAAAATGTGTGGATGTGGCACTTCAGGACATGGTTTAGTGGCCATGATAGTGTTGGGTTGATGGTTGGACTTGATGATCTTAAACATCTTTTCCAACCTTAATGATTCTGTGATTCTGTAAAGAGGCATTTCTGGAGCATGATTCTTCTGACCTGTTTAAAATGTCTGATTTAGGATGAGATGAATTTCAGCAAATTTAACTATTTGCTGAAAGTTGGATCAAAGCACCTGATTCTGGCCAAAGCCAACAGCCATCTCACAGTTGGTAGCCCTTGGGAAGGCTGGTTTCACTGTCTGAACTATTTGCTATTTTGGTGGCCTCTAGGGGCTTAGTCCACTGTACGAGATGCTGTGCAAACGCACAGCAGCTGATGGCTCCATCCCAAGAGAAGGGGAGAGCTCACATCACAAGGGAGAGGTGGTAACAGTGGACGAGGCAAAGAAATAAATAGGACGACAACCTCTGTCGATATGCAGTCATAAAAAATAAAGCTAATAAACCATTTATTTCCTTTTCTCTCATAACAAAGTCTCTCTTACAGGCTTCTCTAGTATATGTGAATTGAGCTTAGTTAAAAATTCACGTTTCTCGTAATTTACAGCAGTGTAACTTTGTATTTCACTCTCATGTCTCCCCATTTTGGAAGGAGATACTTTCTGCTGAAAGGTCTTCATGAACCTATCAACCTGTAGTCAATTTAAAGCCTTTAAATGTACTCATTAATACTCAATCTTTGGATATAGGCTTCCTGAGTGATTTAAAACTACTTACAGGGAAACTATTTAGTTGAAGGCATATTTCTTTAAATGTTTTTTGAGCCATCAACAGTTCAAACCCTCTTTAAGGTTTTTGTGGAGAAGTACCATGCATCAGCAGGCAGCGGTGGGAGTTTGATTAGGCAGAGGCATAAAGCACATTCATCATGGTGCGGAGACCACTTGTTTTCCTATTAAGTGGTCAAGAGAAGCAGACTGCTCAATTGCTGCCGGTTCTTCAGCAGCACCAGTATGAATGTGCCGTTTGCATCCAGAGGTGACGGAGCACATCTGGCACACTGCCTGCATGGAGCCATTCAGTGGCACTGCTGCTCTGATGGCTCGGTCCCATAGCCTTGCGTGGTAAGAGCTGATCAGGTGCAGTATAGCAACGGCCGTCGCCTTCGGAAGTGCAGCACGTGCTTTGCCTCCCCATCAGTGGCTACTCCACAAGTGTCTTCACTCCTCGTGAGAATTTCATGTTTTGCCGAGCTCAGTCTGAAGGCAATGTATCAGCAACATGAAGGGGAATGGTGGCCCCAAGTACCATGAGCTGGAACCAAGGAAATT